GCGCTAAATCGCACCTGCCTCCCGAACAGAGAGATGCCTAAGGCCACGGCAGGGACTCTGCCTCAGTTCCCAAGGCACACCTCGTGCATATCCCGGGAGACGCAGATCATACTGAGACATCATCGAGGTGAAGGATGCACTCAATGGCACGGATGCAACGGTGCCACCGCCACGCGTCTACGGCTTGTGCCCCATGCATCCTTGGCACCATGTCGGCCGCTCATCCCTTCAAGCATCTCGGGCTTCAGACCGCCGCCTAGCTCGTCACTGCCTTCGCTGACGGTGCCGCACAGAAAGGGATAGCGACTTACTCATTTCAGCAGGTCCGCCAGCGACCCGGCAATTGCTCTCGTTACGCCTGCCGTGGAGCACGGTATAGCCCACTGCCAGCTGCTATCGGCAGATCCATGGTTCGCATAACTCCCTAATACCGCCAGCTTTATCTGCGACAGACAAGGCAGGGCCTGCCTATAATGCAAGGCTGGCCGGCGGGCCGGCCGTTCCCGGCGCCTCGCGGCCTCGTCCCTCCTACCGTCCGGCAACGGGACAATGAGCTGAGCTGCAGGGCCTCTGATGTTGCATGGGAGAGAGGGCCGAGAGGCTCCTGAAATCTGCAGCGCGGCATGCGGTAGCAATCTATCAGATTCGGCAAGCCCATGGTCAGCAATATCTGTTTAGCGACGCAATGGCGGGACGACCGCACATTTACCTTCAGATGACGAGGCTACCAAGCTCGTGGGCCATGACCATCTCCCGGTCCCCATCAAGTCCAACAGGGGCCGACTCCACATGCTGCAGCGAAACGCGATTGACGAGACGCACTGCTCACACCTGCTGTCGAACGGCATGGGCGCACATCGGGCAGCCAAGTTCAGAACTGGGGTGCACCACGAGTACGACTGTGTACGAGGACGGACCAAAGTGCAAAAGACCCAGGGCCCCTTGTCTTGAGAGCCCCAAACACGAGTCTGGGACTCCACATCCTGGTCGTCACAGATCCCGCCTGCATCCCGCAGAACGAGAGTTGCCAGCATCACCCATGCGCCCAGGACGCGCTCGCTGTGTCTCCAGCCTCGCGGCTACCTACCGACCTGCTCGTTGCGGAGGAGGCTCTCGTACTGGAGCTATCTGCACCCCCGCCGAAAGTTCCTCGACGGGATCAGGTGCGGCGGGCTTTCGGATCAGCGATTCAGTCTGATGCCTTCACGGACAAGCCAGAAACAGAGCTACCCGCTCAAGCTCCTTGCCAATTCGTGGCAGCCCGCCGAGTCGCGCCGGTCGCAAAACTTGCCTGCCCGTCGCGCAGAACCGCCGGCGTCCAAGCCCGTTACGCGGTCCAAGGACCAGGACGACACTAGAGACTCGCTGGCAGAAGTCGATCGAGCATCTGAACCCCGCGGCGCCACGCCCTCGCTCCGCGCGCGGCGCATGTCTCAAGAAGTTGCGACAAGCCACGGGAACACAAGGGCTTGCCCATGTTGCGTGCGGCTCAGGAACTGGGTCCAATCCGTGACCACGGTACGGAGCCCTAGTCGCCGCCGTACGTGCGTAGCTTAATCTGCCAGGCCTGGCTAGGGCTGGCCCACTCGTGCTGAGGCGGCCGTTGAAACGGAGTGGCGCCAAATCGGCCGCAGAGACGTGGTGCGTACGAGCCCGCGAGGGTGCCGCCGCAGGAAATCTGCTCTCCCGGCTGCTGCAGTTGCGGCGAAGGCCTGCGAAACATGCCTACCGCCAAGGGAACCAGTAAGCACCCGATTATGCGTGCGCCGCACCCTCAGTATCCCGGCGAGCAGAAATGAAGGGACACCACGAGGGCCGGAGACGGTCCACTGCCGCCAGTCGCACGATCTCTTCGCTAGGATGCCGCCGAAAAGGAAGTCGTCGAGGATCGGCGGGTCTCGACGACGTCGACACCCACTTGTCGGGTCCCCGTTTCCTTGGATGAAAGACACCAAAGAGAGGGAGAGCCTTTCCCTCCGGTACCTGCAGGCCGTTTGCTCAACCGCCTGGCCCCCGGCCGAAGATGAAACGACCTCGCCCCGGCGCCCCTTGCGCGACCGTTGGGCTGCCCAAATTGTAGGACTGCCATGTTGCGTCGGCGTCTGGCTGGGAAATTGACAACTGAGATGCGTCTCCCGCGGGTTCTTGGACTCGCCCGTCCTCTGTCGCCGCCGTCGGGTTGACTATCCTCTTGACGAGACACAACCGCGCAGCGCCGGACACACCACCGGGCCCCGCCACGTTCCCCAATGCCGTGTGTCCTCCTTGGCCTTCAGACGACGGCGTGTGGCCTGCCCCCGTCCATCAGACCATAGATCAACACAGCTCCCTGGGTGCCACAGGGCCGTCTTGCCTCCCGGCCCAATGGCAACACCGGCGCGCAGGGAACCAGGCCAGACTACGGCATGACTTGCATGGCACGCTAGGCGTGCTCCTGCATGACGACTTATACACACCCGCCACGGCCATGACTTGCTGGCCGAGGTACGCCGCCCCCAACCTCCAGACTGTCCCTCAGCTGCCCTGGCCGCCGAGACGCGCCCAACCGTGTCCTGTTTGTTCGCCAGGTTCCCCAGCTGAGGAGTCGGACGAGAGCGCAGCGACAGCAGCTCCCCAAGAGCGCGAAGCATGGAGGCATGCACGAGCTGCCCAGACCCATCAATTGAGCCAGTTGCCGGACATGATGGTGGGTGGAGTCAAGCGCACGCGCTCCGCTTGTTTCCCGCGACAGACGCCACCAGAAACGTCTGCTCGCCGCCTGTATTATGGTTTCTTCGTCTTCGCGGTTCGGCATGGTCCCGAGAGATTGCTGCTGCTCGACGTGGCTTGCATTGCAGCAGTCCGATTGCACAATCCAGCCTCCCTCTTCGCCCCCGAGCGCCCCTGGAATGCGGTTGCGCTGCCTGTCGTCGCTGCTGCGTGCTGCTGCTTACATGTATCTCACCCGCCGTGTCTCGAACCCTGTCATCGTGAGACGACGTTGATCTCCGAGGCCCGGTGCCACATCTGCTCGAGTCGCCCGCCCGTCGTCTGCATCACTCGCATCCGCCCATGCCTTGCAAGCCCCGCTCGCCGGCCAGAAGGGCATCGTCAGCCTTTTCGCTCTCTTGGTCGTTTCCGGGTGTCGGTTGCATCCTTGCACGGAGCCAGCCTGGTCCATTGTGACCCGACCTGGCCGTACCCCGGCTGCTCGCCCTTGGTCCCCCGCGTCCCTCACACGCCCCCCCTGGGCCAGATCCCCTCGGCCTATGTGCTCTCGATTGTCACCCCCCTCCGTTGCCTGCACCCCCAGTTGCTGTTCCTTTGACCTTGGCTAGACTTTGGAGCAAAAGGGTCATGCGTTCAACAGCGCAGTTCGACGCAGCCTGCGAGAGAGATGACCAATGAGCGCCTCACAGACGTACCGGGCGAGCTGCCCTTTGGCTGTGGAGTCCACGTTTCTTGTTGAGCAACCCCAGTCCCTGGCCCCCTTGCCTCTGTCGACGCTTCTGCCGGCCTTGGCTTCATGTGCTGTTGGTAACGCCAGGGTACCGGCCGCCCACGCCGTGGGTTCCTCGCTGCGCACCCTCCCCAGGGGACCATGGCTCCGAGGGTGAGGCACATCGGTTCCCACTCGCAGCCCGTGGACTTGGGAAGCGGATCTTTGCATTTGGGACCTGGGTTGCTCGCCGCTTCGGCCTGCGCACCTGTTGGTCCCCTGGTGTCTGTGTAGGATCAAAGACCGGCGACTTGGAAACGTCGGAGTTGGCATCGTCCAAGCGTCCTCCCCTCAAAGAGCCTCAAGAAAGTCTGTCTTGTTCCAGGACGGGCAAACAACGCTTCCCGCCTAGAAGTAAACGGGAAACAGCTGGTACCCCCCGTCAGCGAGCTGCTGAATCGCCGCCGGACGCATGACGGACTGCCTTCCAGGACCAGAGGTACCTTGGACGGCACGCCTCGACGGAGACCGGGGTGCAGCATTGCAGAATCTAGAAGGCCTCAAGCCGTCCGTCAGTCACCAGTCAGTTACCAGTCACCCACTGCCATCCTTTCATCAGGCACCACACATCCCCACCATACTCCCCCATCGATATCCGCTTGCAGGGGTGGCTCCGTCCTCGAGTGACGGTCTCCGAGTCGGCCCTCTCGAACGTCGTCGCCGCGAGAGGCGCTGCACTTTGCTACACCTACAAACACCCTCGACTCGAGCTCGACAATCTGCGGGCAAGAGGCAGGCATAACTACGGCGCGAATCTTTCAGGCATCGGTTTCCCTGCGAGGAGCATCGTCTCTCCCGACCCGGACCCTCGATCGTGTCTTTGCACGCAGACGACACTCCCAGGGTCCCCACACGAGCCGATGGTCTCCTGCCGAGTCTTTGAATGCCATAGTATCCCTGATACTACCCCGTGAACCGCGAGGCCAGGCTAGATGCCACCCTCTCCCAAGCCGCTCCCGCAACAGCCTGGAGCACAACCTGCTCGCTCCCATCTTATTGGTTTCCGGGGTCGGATCGAGCTGAGCATTCGTGAGCGCCTGATAACCCTCGGTCACTGCCCTCTCGTCCTCGGCTGAGCTCGCTCAGTCCACCCCGCGAGCCACGACACATTGACGGCATCGGCATTGCAGGACGCAGGGCATTCTGACCACCTCGCACCCAGCCGCTCGCCCTCACGCACGTGTTTTGGAGACCCTGTCCAGCTCTCTCGGGTCCAGAATTGATCGCGCGGTCATTGCCACTCACAGTCGATCCGCTGGTTGATTTCCCAGCTCGAAACGACAAGGATTGATTCGACAGGAACGGCTTCTCTCCCCATAAGGACCGGTCCGCACCCACGGCGTGCCGAGCACGGCTCCCTTAAGCCATTGCCATCCCGAGCGCACCTCATCACTTCTGAACAACATCGAGACCGGTAGGAGAATCATCATCAATGCTCATCACTCGAATTTGTGACTCGGATCACGCCCCTTGGCCACTACGCAAAAACAGCTCGTCTGCTCGCCGGCCAGAGCCTCCACGCATGTCCGACAGGTACGAGCTGCCACTGCCCGTCCAGCCCGAGTGGCAGAGCCAATATTCGTACCTGCCTCAGCAAGAAACGAGCGGGCTCACCGGGCCCGTCGGAGGTTCCCGGCGGACGTCGCTGGCAAAGGACAACGGCGTCAAGAAGGCAAGCGAGCCGCCGGAGGGGCATCGCTGCACGGGAGACCTCCTCACACCCAAGAGCGTGAGACACTCGTCCTCAGGCGAGGACCAGCCGTCCTTTGCGGGCAAGGCGCCAGAGTTTCCGCGGGTACCTCCTCTGCCTACGGTCAGTCAGCCTCTAAAGCAGACGGGGCCGAACAACTTTCACACGGTCCTGGCAGCCGAGGCTGGCCCGGCGCCGGCGACGAGCCATCATGGTTTGGATTCCAGAGACAGCATGGCCGTGGAGGAGGCCGATCTGGACGAAGACGACGACGACGCCGCAGGGCCGGATGGCGACGGCCTCGACCGCCCGCAGACGGCTGCCGAACGCCTGGCGGCGCGTCGAAAGATGAAGCGCTTCAGGTAACCGCAGAAACGTGACACCGGCAGCACCATTGCTAACGAAGCGCAGGCTCACCCACCAGCAGACGCGGTTCCTGATGAGCGAGTTTGCAAAGCAGCCTCATCCAGACGCGGCACATCGTGAGCGCCTTTCGCGCGAGATCCCGGGACTCAGCCCGCGTCAAGTCCAAGTTTGGTTCCAGAACCGGCACGTCCACACTGTCACTTCAGGGGGAAGAGAGGGATGATGGCTAACGAACTGCCACAGCCGCGCCAAAATCAAAAGGCTCACCGCCGACGACCGAGACCGGATGATTAGGATGAGGGCCGTCCCCGACGACTTTGACAACGTGCAGGCGCTTCACTCGCCCTACGGAGCCGTCCACGGAATGGGCCCGACGTCGACGCCGCCGAAACCCCTGAATCCGTCATCGTACGGCAACCACATGCTGCGACCGCTCATGGTCGACGTCCGGCGAAACGACGACGTCTACCTGTCCCCTACGGGGCTCACCCCTTCATTTGGCGGCGTGGACATTGGGCAGCCAGGGAGCGGGGGAAGCGCGGATCTCGTGTCTCCTCTCTCGACCACGTCCAGCGATAGGTTCGGCCCACCAGGCCACATGCCGGTCCCAAGGCTTTCCAACCCGCAGCTCGGTCAGCATGGCAGCATGGAGGGCGTAGGGCACGTCGGCCGGCCCAACCTACGCCTGTTACCCCTGACCACGCGGGACTCGATCCCCAGATCCGCCACCGACTCGATTCAGTCCCCTCGCACCAACCTGTCCTGGAAATCGGACTCGGTTGATTATTCTGTCTACCCCGGAGGGCCGCCTGAGCGCCAAGGCACATACCAACCTGGTCAGGCCGGATCGGCACCACCCAGCGCCATGGGCGGGCTCGACTCGCAGCCATACACAGGTAAGTCGGCCCCCGCCGCTGTCACCCTCGGCGCTAACAGGACTGCAGGCGGCAGCAGCATGTCGAGCTCCTCGGGGCCGGGATATCTCGGTCTGGGACAGTCCGCCCAGACACAGGCCCGCGCCAGGGCATCTTCGACCTCTTTGACCATCGACTTTGGCTTCCGAGACGCGTACCGACCGACCGCCCCGAGCTCGCCGCCCTACTCGAGCCGCGGCCCATCGACGTCGCAGGACGGACCACCGGCGAGCTCCACGGGGTATCCGCCTGCTCCCCTCTCGGCCCCCCTGAGCGTCTCGCCGAGACGATTCCACGGGCGAGTCGGGCTGCCGGAATACACAGACTCGCAGCTGAGCGCCCCCATCACCGCACCTAGCGATTTCGGGAGGTCATTCCACGGAGAGGGCTCAGTACACCCGCCGACCCCGTCGATGAAGGACTACTTTGGGAGCGGCTCGGTCGGGTACAGCCAGGGGTGAGAGCGCAGCATTACAAGGCGTTTGATTTCTGCACGACCGCGGTTCCGGTAACTGCCGCTGCTCACGATCCAAGTGACGCGCGCTGGTTTGCTTCTCGTCTCTCTTTAATTGATTATCTACACTTTTCTCTTTTAATCACCGTCCTGGCCGGAACGAGGTCGGGCACCTGGAAGGGGAACGGGGGCTGGACGGTCCTTGTTTTGGGCAAACATGATTTCCGAAATCGGCATTCATCCGGTATTGGGGGCGTCGACTAGCGAACACGAAACGCACGGTCATGTCATGGGTTGTTTTTACCGCAGCTTGGTTTAACTTTGCAGGGTGGCGATGAGGCAATCGCATATCGCATGCACGTCGTATGGTCCACGGCTGGTCTGCGGATGTAGCAATAAACGTTTATTTGGGCAGCAAGGAACCCCTGACTACTGGCACGGCAAGACCACTTGGTGACACGTTGGGCAACGGGACAGAGTCGACGGTGGTGGTCTGCCATCTGATGTTGAGGACTGTTGGCTATCCGTGCGCAGGCCGCCCGCGGTTGTCGTTGTCGAACTCAAGAAAGGTGCCGTTCAACAAGAGCAAACAGGAACACGGATAGATGGGTGCTTGGGCCCTTTCGGCTTGGCCCCCAACAATCCAGCCCGCGTTCCAGGCTTGATCCCGGGGCCCCAGGCGCGCTCATACGAGGATTCATGCCGATACCAAACCCAACCCGCCGCGCAGGGACGGCCAATCTGCGACGCCCCAGCCGGGCGATACCGTGGCTCCACGGCGATGGTGATGATGATGATGATGACGGGCCTGCATTGCTGTTCGAGACGCATCGATCGCACGCGCGCGCGTCGTCGGCGACGACGAGGCTGGCGACAGGAACTCGAGTCGACATGCTGGCGTTTCAAGTAGAAGACCGGGGGTCGCGCAGCGTCCATACCAGCGCGCTTCCATCCCTGGCCTACCCAACTTGCGGTACTCTGCGCAGATTGTCCAGGCAAGGTCGAGACTCGAGAGGCCGTGGCTCTCGCTCGCCGCGCAGGTAACGTATGAAGCTCATGCGAGTGGAGGCCGGGCGGTCGCCAAGGCACGCCTGGGTTGGCGCCTACATCAGGTGTACTTCGCACGGGGGGTGTCTCGATGGATGCACGACGCAACAACCAAGCACCCGGCCGGACGGGGGGGCAGACGACGAGGTCGTCCGATACGGAGGTTTAGCCTTTGGGCTCACTGCAGGTTTGAGCATCACCAGGTCAGGAGAACGGAACACGGCGCGCATTGAATCTTGGCCTGGCCACAAGGGGGGCACAAATCTGCCTCCCGTATTTACAACGAGGGCGTCACGCGACGCTCACCAGGCTCCGTGCTTCCCCCATCTCTGGATAAACAGACGCATCTCGGCGTCCCTCTCGCCCTGCAGGATCTCGAGTATCCCCTGCGCGCTCGTCTCGGAGCTGTCGGCGCCCCTGTCGATGCGCCCCTGCCGGTCCTCCTCGCCCGTCAGGTTGGTCACCACGTAGCCCGGGCAGTAGGCCCAGAAGCGGACTCCCCCCTCGGACCCGGACCCGGACCCGCCGTGCGCGGCGAGCAGGCAGCCCGTGGCCATGTTGAGCGCCGCCTTGGACATGCGATACGCCTCCCACGGCTGGCGATAGTAGCTCGAGGTCTCGTCGAAGCGTGCCGCCACGGAGCCGAGGTTGGACGAGACGTTGACAACGCGCGGGTCTGACGAGCGACGCAGCAGCGGCAGCAGCGCCTCGGTGAGGATGAGCGGCCCCGCCGTGTTGGTGTTGTACGTGTCGAGCAGCTCGGCGCGGCGCGAGGGTGCGTTGCGCACCGTGATGCCGGCGTTGTTGACGAGCCAGTCGAGGCGCCCGTGCGTGGCCTCGATGGACGCGGCCGCCGCAGCGATGGAATCGTCTGATGTGATGTCGAGCTGCAGCAGGCTCAGCGTGCCGGCGTGGCCGTCGGAGACGCGCGCCTGCAGCTGCCGCAGCGCGACCTCGCCCTTGTCCACGCTGCGACAGCCCATGATGACGTGGTGGTCTGCCGAGGCGGCGGCGAGGGCGTGGCTGGTGTCGAAGCCGATGCCAGAGTTGGCCCCTGAGAGGATGTTAGCTGAGCGTGTTGCGCCCGGGCACGTCGAGGAGTGAGTTCTTACCGGTGACGAGAATGATGCGCTTTGCAGACATGGCTGTGTAGGATCGTTCCTTTGATGCTCGAGATAGCTTGCCGGGAAACCTTGCCTCTCATCAAGATCGCGATGATCATACTTATACAAGTACATTTAGACGGGCCAGCTTCACGCATCGCCTGGCATCGGAATTATCGCCTCGCGCAATCTCCATTTCCAAACTCCGCCCGCGGCACTCAACTGCGTCATTGAAACAAAGTCCAGCACCGGCTGAACTTCGTTTCTAGCGCGGCAGTGTCATGTCGGAGCCAGTCCTCGTCGCAGATCGGTCCGTTGGTGTTGCCGCATGTGGTGACACTACGACTTTGGTACCCCGGAGTTAAAGGGGGGGACTTAAGGCCGGGAGCGAGGCGAGGCGCCCACGCGCACACGCAGTGGAGGCATGGCATACCTACCTAGTAGGTCGTTCTAGTCCAGTTCGCCTTTGGAAGTGGGCAAAAATTGGGAACGAGCCGTGGTGGCCGCAGTTGAGGTGGTCGTCCCTGAGGTAACGGGGTCTTTTAAGGTTTCGCTGTGCGGCGATGGCGCCGTTGCGCAACGGGCAGGCGACCGGCGGGGGGTAGATAGATCGTATTCCCGTCAGCCTGGCTCTGTCCTCGCACAACCGTCGCCAGACCAGTCCTACTTTTGGAGATGAATTAATATCCTTGCGGGAAGCCACTGCGGGCGAATGGGACAAGACGGGTTGATCCCATCTGCACACCATGTTTCTCTACAGTCTCTCTGTTGATATAACCGCCCTCGCCATTCGTCAACAGCAGTTCACGGGTCACCCGATATTCATCCATTCGATATTACGCCATTCGATATCTGCTGGGCCCTGGCGTACATCGCTAAAACCAAAGACAAAGGCAGCGATGCTAGAGTCGAACATCATGTGAATATTGCACTCGAGCACCATGGAGGAAAACCTCTTCGACGCTAATACGTGCATCCCATCGGAGGGTATTTTGAGCATGATCGTCGGTCGTTCAAGGCCTATTTACAGGGAAAGTCAGCCTTTGCTAGCTGTTCACTCATCATTGGAGAGCCTGCCGCGCGTACCGGGTACTGGATGTGTTTCTGTATGCGGGAACGGGGGCGCAATATCATCGACGGATGTGTATATGTCGCAGGGGATCTTCCTACGCTCCCCAAGTTCAGAGCGTCTGATTTCGTATGCGAACTCAAACGACCTTGGCTCTCGTATTTCTTCCCCCTTTCTTTTGGTCAGCAAGGATATTTCCTGGCTTCTAGACGACATGTCTGCCTCTGGTCGGGTGAGGGCCTTCGCGTATGCCGGCTTACCTTTTTAACAAACCACTTCATCACCTCAATCGTCCAGGACCCCGCAGATCTAAATGGCGGTCAGCCGCGACGCGCCTGCCAGTCAAGACAGGTCCGAGTACCTTTTTCTCCTGTCGACGCTGTGCAACGGGTTCTGTGGGTCGTACTGGACGACCTCGCGGATCCCGTAGTGCCGATTGGCCTCGCGAGCGATCACTTGCGGGGGTCGGGCCGGTCCTTTAGGTTTGACAGTGAGTGGCTGTGAAGGGTATCGTCCGGTTTGACGTGCCCTGCGCTGCCCGTCCATGAGGGCACCCCTGACTACGGCGGTTTGGCTGCAGAACGAGTGAGTTAAGAGCGTCAGGGCTCGCGCAAACACTGTGGGCTGGAAGGGAGAGGCATACCTGTGTTCTATCCGAACAACTCGGACCTCGTTTCCGACAGTGGCTTGGATTCTCTTCTTCAGGTATTCATTCTCGCCAAAGCCGCCTGCCAAGTACAGAGTCCGGACACCCCGGTTTCTCTCGGAGAGTCGTTGAAGCTCTGCGACGTTCATATGGTCGTGAATGAGGTCACAAATGCCCGAAACCACGGGGTCGAACACTTTGGTGCGGATTTCGGCGGCTTGTATGCTGATGACAAGGTCATCATCCATGACAGGACCCGCGGAGATGAGGAAAGGAGCCCTCTCGTCCACACCGTCAAATGCATGCTTGATTTCGGCGTTGAAGTTGGCTATGGCGTGCTCCATCAGACGTCGGCCGTTGCCCTGATCCCAGTCAATGTACTTCAAGCCTTCTTTACTTCTCAAATAGTCCTCGAAGGTTCCGTCCAATAGGGTATCGCCGAGGACACCGGAGTCGACGATGTTGCGCCTCAGGGCGAGCTTCGAAGATCTGATCTCGTACGTCGATACCGTGACCATACTGCGCAGCATCGACATTAGCTCCTTCATATCCCATCGGAAAGCCGTTCACGTACCATCCACCAGCATCGCAAATCAGAAAAAGGTCACCCTTCTCGACCCCCGTTGGTGGCATAGAAGCGACAATAAATGTCACCAGTGCCTCGGACTCGACAATAAGTTGCAGAGACTGCTGGACGGACTGTTCTCCAATGAGGGCCACGGCTTCTTTCATGGACCCATACCCAAGGAGAGCCTCGGCGGCACATTCGCGCAGACTCTCTCGCTCGTTAGATTCCCAGAGTTCTGGAACGGTCAAGATATAGTCTACAAGAGGGTCTTCTGCACGACCACCGTTTGCCTCAATCACTACGTCGTCGATTGTGCTTTTGAGCGTTTTGAGGTAATCGGTCATTAGGTTCAGACATTGTCCCCGTGTTCTCCACGACGCCTTGGCCAGATGATATCTCGCCATTCTTGATGCAAACGAAGGATAGGAAGATGGGAAAACACCGAGCTTGAAAGATTTTAGGATAGGGGGTTCTGGTGGCGTTATGTCCAATTCCAATGTCGAGCTTGAGCGTCGTTTCAGAGGAGGCCGCCAGCGCCAGGATGTCAAGCCGGCTTCATCAGTCTCACCATATAGAGTCCTAACAGGGTGTTACAAGCCAGCCACCTACCTTGATGGGGACGGGATGACTCACGTGGATACTTGTTCAGTCGTAAATTCCGCGTCCCAATGCACGGCAATCCTCTGTTTATCGCCCTAAGGGAGATCTGTATTAGCATGGAGGTGGCAGGTTAGCTGTGTTTGAAAGGCCAAAGCTTACTTCGTCGATGTCCGCGTAGGCGACACTGGCACATGTGGTACCTAAGATGAAAGCTTAGCTAACACTTAGCATATCGTATCTTCCGGGGTGTTCTCACCGACATGTATCGCCACTAGAAACCTCCCACCAGAGTGCCTGGCAGGACTCGAGCCATCCTTGGCGCTGAAACGGGTGTCGACTTCGATTTGAGCGGGGCCCTTTGTTTGTAAAAGCCAGATCAGCAATCGTGGCAACTCTCTGCAGACCGCCGTCGGGCCTGAACAAACCTCCATGGGTGTTCGCTGCTCTACGCCCTCAGCCTCGTCCAGGTTGTCGACATCTAGTCCTCGGTCGACTCGGGCGCCTCTGTCGGGATATGGTGATCGGTATTCCTCGCCAAGCCGCAGCGCCTCAGCGAACCTCTTGACTACTTTATCCGTCGACGGGTCGTACGCGAATTTGCGTGCTCTCATGAACTCCCAGTCTCCTGGGTTCGACGATATAATCTCGCTTTCCTCGGGGACGTTGCCGTGGTTGTCGACCCCCGTGTTCTGCTGTTCTTCAGGCTGCTCATCCCTGTACTGAGAATTCGTCTCGTCTCTTGAGTCCGCGTGGCTTCCCGTGAGCTGTCGGGATTGTTGAGCTGAAGCCACATCTGACGGGATGCGGCCCTGGCTTGTTGTGTGGTCCGACTCCGACTCAAGCTCCATGTCGCTACCTAGATCATGTCCCGATAGCGATATTTGCGACAGCATCAACAGATGAGAGCTAATATGGTGCTCGAGATCGATGCTGTCAGGGGCTTCATCGTTGTACTCGTCGCACAACGGGCACTCATCGAAAACATCACCGGAAGAAAGAACTCCGTACGACTCCTCCACTATGTTTTCGAGCTCCCCTTCGCTTAGATCGTCTTCGTGCTCTTGCATATGCCGTCTGAACTCCAGCATATCGGTAAACTGAACGGACGAGGTGTGACTGCGGTCCATACATATCCACCCGTGCCGAGCGTGCTCTGTCTTCATATGAGACATCCAGGCGGCAGTAGAGCCATATAATGAGTTGGGCACATGGCACCGTTCTTGCACACAGATGAAGGGCATCAGATCTTGAATGACATGTCGTCTATGCTGTGGTCAGAGTCCATGCGATTGAATCAGAACGAAACGAAACGTACGGCCAGCCTGCGTCGGTGAACTCGGTGTGGTCACACGCCAAAAGGCAATAGGGGCATTCGACTTCTTTGTGCCACGTTGCCGGGAGAATCTTTGGTCTTCTAGGGAGGTCCTCTAAGGCGTAGTCGGCCTCGGGCTTGTCCAGAGTGGGCCCATCAATTGTCGGCAGCGCATTTGTGTTGAAAGTCGTCGCACTTGCCGGGGCGGCACGGCGTTTAGCTTTGTCGTCACGCTTCCGGTCAGACGCCGGTTGATGCTGTGCACTGCGTTGACTCTGGTATGTGGAGCGACCCGTTGTACTGAAAGCTGACCCAAGACGCGACCCTGTCTGAGAGGCTGAACGTGTGGGTGCGACGTGGCTGCTCCCCTTTTTCCTTTTGGATCGAAGGTATGCGAAGTTTTGCTGGCGGAGACAGATGGTCTCCAGTAGTCGGCCTCTCAGTTCTTGGCTTGTCGACTTGAACATCATATCCAAATAGGCTTGAACGCCTTCGCGGAACTTGAGAGTCAGATTGACGACGATGCCATCAATTTCGACAAGTTCGAAGTAATCCGCAGCTCGAACAAACCTCTTCAGGGCCCCGGATCGACGTACGGCCCTGGTGAACCGGAACAGCTGGTCCAGCAACGTGCCGGCATTCTCGTGTTGATCTACCTCGGACTGTTTCGGTGCAACGTGCCCTGCGCTGTTTGTCAGTACCCAGCATCCTTCAGTGAGGGGATGCGGCCAAAAGCTCGACGGCTTACCGAGCACAACGGCTGACAGGTCCTCCAAAAGGTCGACAATAACATTATGGGGCAGTGAGGCTTTCCGCAGCCGCCAATCCAGGGAGTCACGACCCTCCGAGAAGGCCGAGTTGTTCTCGGCCCAAAGATTGAATCGAAATAGGAGGTTCTCCACCTGTAACACTTGGTCGGGAAACGTGCCGACACTGTCAAGCCACCTGGCGAGCAGCTCGGAGCAACGCTTTGCTAGCGTGGATATTGATCGTGCCTCCATGGTGTTCGAGGTTCGCAGAGGGAGCATCGCGCAGGCAGTGAGGGGAAAATGTCCAAATCAGCACGGCGGCTGAACACTGCATGATGCAGGTGCAGCGTGGTGCCTGCCCAAGAAGAGAATGTGGGGTCGAGGTACATCTGAGCTGCAGGACATGTAAGACGACAGTCACATGAAGCATGGGCACCGTCAACTGCACGCAGAAGACCTGGTCAAGACGGCGATTGCGGGTGCGGGATGACTTCCCAGCTCAGTAATATGGTGAATTCGGCTATCAGTAGCCGATGGGTATGTGCAAATGTAGCGTCAAGTCTGCGCTTTACGCGACATTCTTAGAGTGCATATGACCTGACAGCGACCAAGTCATGAGGGCCCCGTCTCCTGACTCGACTCTTGGCTCTGTCCTGGATGTAATAGCTAGCATGCCTCATCATTCATATCGTTCGTTTCTGCATCACCTGTACTTCCTTTCCAGTGCCTCGATGATCTTCACAGCAATCGCTACATCCGTCTCTTTCAGCAGCCTCCATGGCTTGATGAAGCTGTACGACTCATCTCGCGTCTCGTCGGTCATGCACTTTTTCAGGACAGCCCTCATGCCATAGGTGTCCCATAGCTGTCCTTTCGTCACATCCCATTTTGGGAGACAGCGCAGCTCCGGCAAGTCCTTCTTCGCAAAGTCAAGGGTCATGGCCGCGATACCTGCGACAATCGGGGTCGCACACGAAGTGCCGCTCATTCTCCTGCGCGTCGCCTGCGTCTCGCCAGCTCCAAATAGCGGCCACGCGGCATCCACATTCTCACCTACGACGCTGAGGTTTGGTTGCCCGGGAATGCCCTTGGGGCTGAAGCTGGAACGCTTCATGTCCACGGTGGACGAGTTGACGCATATGACGCGATCCATGGCCCGAGCCGGATAGCCAATTGGTTCAACCCGAAGAGAGCGATTGTTCGACGCGGCGGCAAACATCAGGACGTTCTTCTGCGAGACTCTTGACTTGGCGTGGTACAAAGCCTCCTTGATGGCCACTTCTTCCTGTTCAAACGCAAAGGACATGGATATGATGTCTACGTCCCATGTCTCTATCGCGTGAAATATGGCCTGATAACCATGAGAGTTAAAGTCGTGAAAGGCGTAGCGAACTAGACACGGAGCACGGTCACAATTACGCACCTGCTTGATAAGACCCGGTGTGGACGCTTCCCGCGTGCTGGTTCTAAACACTCTCATGGGATACAGCTTCGCGTATGGTGCTGTCTGGAGAAGGGTGTGACACACGTGGGTGCCATGCCCATCCTCGTCCGAGATCGTCTTGCCTTGATCAACGAGGTCGATGCCAGGATCCAGCTGCCCGCTCTTCAAGACGGCTTGGAACTCGGGGTGGCTCAAGTCGATTCCCGTGTCTATGACCGCCACTTTGACGAGGTCTTCCAACTCTTCCTCGCTGAGCGAGTCCATTCGGTCTCGGTTCAAGTTCTTATGGACATCCTTGAGCTCAGCGAACCAGTCGTCTGTGGTGAGCGAACTATGCGTACTGATCAGCTTCGAGAGTAGGAGCGCTAAGGGAGAGTTGTCAGCGTACACTTCATCGCTGGCGAGGGCACAGCTTCCTGCGTCGAAGACAACATCTGCGTCTATTCGGTTTTGCAACTGTAGCCGTTGCTGATGTAAATTTGGCGTAGGGCAGTGGTCGCTCTCCTCCATAAGTGCAGGTAGCGTGTTTACCATCTTGTTCCCCCTGCTCCCCACAACAGCTCCGGGTGCTGGTCTTGTGATGATCTTGGCAATGCCACAGTCGTCCAGCTCTCTGGATTGATTCCAGTTGATCTCGTCCCATGACCAATTGGCTCCAACAACGAGATCTTCTTCTAGCGGCCGAACGATATTCAGGTAGTAGTCCTTGACGAAGTCGGCATCTTCTTGAAGGAAACCCGACGTGGTCCGATATACATACTTCTCTAGCGAGCTGCGTTCCTGGCAGAATCTGATGGCGCGGAGAACCCCTGCTCCCCCAGGAAGTCGCTTCTGGGCTTCCCTAAACAGCATCATGGCAATCTGTCCGGGCTTCTGGACCTTGTCCTTTGGAGACACATCACGGTAGATTCCCTCAAGGTCATCCGCGAGCTCAACTTCAGCTATGAGAATGCCAAGGGCCTGGATGGCGGGAAACGGGTGAGCGTTCCGCGGCCGTCGAACTGGGGGTGTGTTGATGCTCTTGCCGAACCGGGTCGAAACGAAAACTTTGTCGAAGAAGGGCCGTGGCTCGCCATGCTCGAACTGGCAAAAGACAAAGACATCATCCATCGAAAGCGAGTTACCAACCCATGGACCGTTTAGTAAGACCAGCAACGACCGTGCCAGTATCATACCGATAACCCGCTTTGCAGCATAAGAAGGCTCCAGGGCTTGGAGTAGTTGCCTCAAGCTTAGCAACTTGTACTCGGCTGGCTTTCGTGGGTCGCTTTGTATATGAAGCTGAAGGTCCAGGACTGTATTGGCGTTCTCCCAGAGTTGACCAGAAGTATCCGCCATGAGAAAAAGACAGCACTCTTTGCACTCGTCATGGCGCAAGAGACAGAGTAGGTCATCGTCACCACCACTGGGCACCAGTCAGTCTTAATATCGACGCGAAGGCTTTCCAAAATGAAACCTACCCCGCCAGGGTCTCGGAAAGATGAATCCTGCATTCTTGGGTAATGTCGGCACCTGTTAAGATCATGAAGAAGCGGCGTTCTTCGGATCCTCGTATGATCCACTGAGGATCAAGCTGCATGTTGGCTCGGTCGCACTGGCCCAACGTTCCGGAATGGTCATGATGCGTTTGATGGCACGGCCAGTACTTGTGCAAGATGTCGTGCAAATTCTCCGCCAGACTCCGGACGTCAGGGAAGGCGCCAATCGCGATACGGGGGCTCGGGAAGCTCCTCTGACTCGTGCTTTCGTGGATGTGGGATGCTTCCAGATCGTTGGGGTCGGGGTCGTCGAGCACGTCGCAGAATTCTTCCAACAGATACGAGAGCCTCGACAGCTTGTCCGCTACGCCGACGCGGATGGCCTCGATGACCTCAAAGTCGGCCGGCCTGTGGGCAAGGATGGCGGCAAAGGTTGCGAGCGTTTGATATCGAGCCAGCCCCGGGTTGAATACCGGGCTGATATCACCCGAGCGGCTCAAACAGTACTCGCTCTCTAATACCTCGTCAAGGCTGGAGGCGACCTTGTCCAAGTACAGCGCGAATTCCGCCTGGGACGATCGGAGCCGCTCGATTTCGCAGGATATCTGAGCAAGAGTCCTCTTCAAGGCTTTTAATTCGCTCTGCTTGAGCCCTTGACACCTGCGCTTCACCTTCTCGTCTTCCCGTAAGCATAGCGCCTTGGCGATTGCCTGCGATGCCGAGGATATTGCAGTGGGAAGCTCAAGTGCTAGCGTGATGTGCATCATGTTGCCGCCGGCTGACCATTTCATCTAGGGAACCCGGCCATCGATGCTCCAAAGAGACTGCAATGGCTGGCTGGTCTTTGGAACGGCGTCCAAGCCACCCGCAGGCAGAGTCTCGACTCAAGGCAGCAGGAGGCCAGGGTCAATAACAGCGCTGGGCCGACAACAGTAAATGGCAGGAAATTCGAGCACAGACACGGAACGACAACTCGAAGGTGGCCTGATGCGCGGCGATGTATGTGTCCCTTTGTCGTGCAAAGATGACTGCGGGGAACAAAGACAGTCCATCGCGCAAGGCGCTTCGACGGTACAGGCCGGCGAATTATCGGGAGGATCCTCATAGATGTGAAGCCGACAGGGGTTTCTGCATGTTCGTCTGCCTCAGCCGCTCAGCATGCAAGTGCGGGATTTCAGCCATTACCAGGGCTTGGCTGACCGGAAATGCAGCTGAGTGCGGCCGCAACATTGCGAACTCCGCGACCCCGCCCGAGAGCACACGACCGCTACCACCAGCGGCTTGTTCATTAAGAAAGCTTTCTTTGATTCGTCTTTTGATGCTTCTGCCACTCAAGGTGCATGAGTTAGTCACAGGCACTCGTCGACTTGCCGCCCCTCCAGCCGATCATCGCACCGGACCCAAGGCTGTTCGCAATCATGTCGCGAACATACGAGCGGTGGATATACACCAAGTCCTGCGAATTTCCACCGGATGGGTGCCTCAGCCTGGGCCAGATTCTTGCTGAGCCGAAGGACCCGGCTTATGTCCTTCAGCCTCTGGGTCCGCTCCCCCTGCTTGAAGGGATGAAGATTGAAACGACGAGCCGCGACAACGTCCGGCTGGAGGACAAGGACGAGCTATCAGGGCACTTCAAGGCGTGGGCCAAGCTGGGCTGTCTGCCCGCGCGCTTCTCTAGCAGCCTGCGCGCGAGCCGGTCCGATCAGTTCACCTGGCACTTCAAAAAGCTTGAGAGTCAGGTGTTCTCGCCTTCGCTTGACTACGTGGGGAACGCCATGCGCCACGGAGATGTGCAAGCTAGCCTGAAGAAGTGGCTCTTCAAGCGCAGGGTCTACATGGTCACGGGTGTGCGTGTCGTCAGCGGAGCGAGCATGAAGCGCAAAGATCAATCTGCCATCTCCGCCTCGGTATCAGCGGAAGCACCACTGGACGAGTCCGTTTCAGCCGGGGCGGAAGGGGGGGTCGCCAGCAGCTCCGTGGACTCTGAAGAGTTTGACAAGGCGACGGACTTTGTCTTTGCGTACCGGCTGAACGAGGTTAGCTACAGAGGCAAGGTCAAGCACAAACCCTATACCGGGGGCGAGACGGAGTCCTCGGGCCGGCCCCAAGAGCCTAAGCCCAGCGAGATTGAGATTGACGACTTCGAAGTACTCAAGCTTTCCGACAGGCCTCTGGCTGGCGGTGCAGACGACTTTGAGAGGACGAGTATTCCTGGATTCGATAACGTGGAATGTTTTGTACCCAAAGACTGAACAAAGCGTTGACTTGGGTTCTGTGCTCATAGCACCAGGGCGAGATGACTTTACATAGTTATATTAAACCAGTCAGGTGCTACACGCCGGATCGATAGAGGAAACATTCACAAGATATGGTGGATCTCTAAGACTATAAGTTAAGTGTGGAAACTTCACAGCAAGCCACAATCCCCACAACAGGCGGGTTGTTCGAAGCCGGGTTAAGTAAAGTTGTGATGCTCAACTAGATGCTAGGGACATGAGGCCCAACCCCGCGACCGCGCCGAGCTGCGCCTGCAGGTCGAGCGCGATTCGTAAGCAATATTCCTTCTCAGCTGTGTTGGAGTTTCCGGACCACGACCTTCACCGGCCAATTGCATCGCGCGGGGCCAGACGTTCCCGACAGCTGCGTCTCGGCTGCCAGGGTAAATCGCCAGCATCGCAACATGGAGTGCAGACCAAGACCTCGTTGCTAGACGAGAGATGCAGTGGCAGGCCTTTTTGGTTCCGTAATCCGTGAATAGCATGGCCTCGCCGGTCTATCCGCGCTTAAACTCACAGTATAGAGTCGGCTGGATCGCCGCCCTGCCCGTCGAGATGGCTGCAGCTCTAAGCGCGCTGGACGAGAACCACGGCAAGCCGCTGACACAACATGCAAAAGACCACAACAGCTACACGCTGGGGCGCATAGGGGAGCACAACATTGTGATTGCGTGCCTCCCGGCCGGAGGTTACGGGACAATCAACGCCGCCCACGTGGCGAGCCAGATGGTCGTGAGCTTTCCGCAGATACGGTTCGGCCTGCTAGTCGGCATTGCCGGCGGAATCCCAAGCGCGCAACACGATATACGGCTGGGCGACATTGTTATAAGCAAACCGGAGGGCATCCTAAGCGGTGTAGTGCAGTATGACTTTGGCAAGGTCCGCGATGGTGACCTTTTCGTACGCACGGGGAACCTGGCGAAGCCGCCCCCGGTGGTGCTCAACGGCCTCGCCAGCCTGCAAACCCAGTACGAGCTGGGCAAAGGACGAATCGCTCGGTGCCTCCAGAAACTGTTTCAGGATGAAGACGGAAGCGACAAGCTGACACACGAGTATGTGTATCCAGGGGCGGATAACGACAGGCTATTCAGGGCAAGTTACAGACACCTGGACGACACGGCGACCTGCGACTCCTGCGAGTCCGAGGAAGAGGTACAGCGCGAGGAGAGGACCACCAGTGACCCCATGATCCACTACGGCACAATCGCCAGTGGGAACAGGGTGGTGAAGAGCGCCGAGGAGCGTGACAAGGAGGGAAGTCTGCTCGGCGCGCTCTGCTTCGAGATGGAGGCCGCCGGCATCATGGACAACTTTCCGTGTCTCGTCATACGGGGCATCTGCGACTACTCCGACTCGCACAAGAACAAGCGCTGGCAGCGCTACTCCGCCGCAACCGCCGCAGCCTACGCCGTCGAGTTTCTCTGCCACATTTCGTCCCACGACGTGCGCGACACGCCTGCCGCAACCGAAGCGAGTTCGTATCAATGCCTTAAAACATATCACCGTCACTGACATATTGCGAAAGAAACCTTTGCCCCCCAAATTCCCGCTCCGGCTGCCGTGGAAATTACGCCGGACGAGCCACTGGTTGTAAAACCACCGAAACGCGGGACACGCAGCAAACATAAACATCACAGCAAAGCGGTAGGTACCAAGAGCGGCGGCAGAAATGAGCTGGTAATGGTGCGGAGCACACGGAACCGGGCTTCCATGTGTGAATATCCTTGCCCTCACCTAACTTCCGGCAGTCTACTGACGCGGTTCCCGCAGACGAGTGCTGCCGAAACACGGCCGAACGAGTAGCATTTCCTAACAAATTATGGCGACTTCTTGGTAGAAAGTGGTGGTTAATCAAGCTTGGTAGCACTGCCAACAAGTGGTCCGATCAAGGCGGATGGCCAGGGCGTCCATGGGGGCAGCGAGCCAATGCCTACGACTTTAAGACATTACGGTCCTCCAGTGGTGTCAAGAAGAGACGGAAGTTTTGAAAGTAAGCGTTTCTAGAGTATGGGAGCTGTGGTGTTCAAGTATTCTTACCTTGGTGAGCCCGCGCCAGGCAGGATCCTTGCGACGTAAGTCGGGTAGTTGTGGCTTGCAATCATGCTCATTACACGTAACAATATAAGGTGTCAGAATTGGCTGAATCGTTACTGGTACTGGTGGCCTCAACCTCACTCTTATGGCATCTGACTTCCGTCCTTGTAGCCTCTTTCCCACCCCCTCCAGTTCTCAACGAAAGCCCCTGAGTCGCCGTCCATGCTCCCAGGATGACACGAAACCACCACTTCAACAAAAGAAGGTGTGCGAATGAAAGCTGCTTTGTGTTCGAACAGTTTGATGGATTCTGGAAGAGGCGACCACAAAAAGGCCCAACACGGCTCAGATGATTGTGATGGCCAGGAGCAGGGGGTCGTGATGAAGCCAGACCCTGAGTCTGCCGCCAGCAGAGCCCCCCAGTCCTGACCATCACAATCATCTGAGCCCTCTTGAATCTTGTGATGATCATGCCTCTTTCAGTTTCATGAGAGCCAATGCAGTCCACATGGCGTTGGATGCGCCACGTAAAGAAGAGCCGTTAACCTGACAATAAGAGCATGTTCAATAGCCCAACGCCGTGACTTGAGACAACAGTACTTACGAGAGGTTTCAATAGAACTGAAATGGATTTCCATCATGAAGTTGGCGGAGTGACGAATTGAGAGACTGGGGACATGTTGTATGCTTGTCCATGCCGACGGCGGTGCTGGAGAGGGCCGGAATCAATGTTGGCAACAGGTTGCAGCGATGGCTGCCCATGGAGGGCTCTGAGGTAAAGCTCGATATCCTGAAGTACGAGTAATAGACTTAGACATCGGAAGGGCAGCAGTCAATTTATACTTGAACGATGCCAATGCTCGTCGATTCACGTACAGCATCCGATTCGCCTTGAGTACTCAAGAGGCCGCGACGTACTCCAACTGGGCGTTTAGTCGCAAAGACAAAAAGACCTCACTGCAATCGACAACCTGGCAAGCAAATCTCACTGCACTTGTGCTCGTTGGCAATATGATGCTATAGACACTATCGCGAAAAAGGGTTGATGCTGCGCGCCACAGGGGCACGCGACCACAAGGCGCTGTCACCACGGAGCTCAATCACAAGGGAGAAGAAACTACTGCACCTTCATCACGAAATGAGCAGTTGAGGGAATTCGGAGCGCAGTCTCGTGATGCTCGTCGGGTGATTCGGATGTCTTTAGTCGCGTCCATACCATGTTCTACGAGCGTCGTCTCATTGCCCGAATACGCGCGCTGCTACACCAACATGGCACCACGGTGGACGAAACGCCCCGTTTGTATGCTTCGACGCAGGTTCGCCCGCCTCGCGCCCGGCTGATCGGCCCCGTTGTCCCCTGTCGCCGTTGGATGGGCACCCCTGGCAATGCTCCGTAGCGCTTAGCGCAAATCGCCCCTGGGGCGGCTCGATCCCGGTTTGTTGCCGCATCGCGGGGAAATCGCGGGAGCCCACACCGGGAATATGACTGCCGCTGTTAATGGCCGACGCCCAGCCTGTCCGGGCAGTGAGATTGAAAGCGGGTAAGTCGTGCCGTTGCGGTCGAAAACCTCCGCACGAAGCGCGATGGCTTTGCGGAATTGATAACAGGCTCAATGGCGCGAATTGAGGAAATTATCGAAGGAGACGCGATGAAGTGTCGCAAGGTTTACCGGATTTGAGGAGGTGTCGCTTTTCATTCTGGCAAGTGTGAGACCCTGGCTGGACCCAGTTACAGCAACGACAGCAACGACAGCAACGACAGCAACGACAGCAACGACAGCAACGACAGCAACGACAGCAACGACAGCAACGACAGCAACGACNAACGACAGCAACGACAGCAACGACAGCAACGACAGCAACGACAGCAACGACAGCAACGACAGCAACGACAGCAACGACAGCAACGACAGCAACGAAAGCAACGACAGCAACGACAGCAACGACAGCAACGACAGCAACGACAGCAACGACAGCAACGACAGCAACGAAAGCAACGACAGCAACTCGGGACCGTAGCTATCGAGACCGCCTCTTAGGGCGGTCGTGGTATACATCACTTTGGGTTAATAGAAAGGATATGGTGTCCAGAGAGCGCTCCTGTCACTGACAGCCGGGGCAGACTGACTGCCCGCGGCCTTGCCAATGGGCTCCCCGAGTAGCCAGCACAGCCTTGCGCTTCACGGTAGACGCATGGTCATTGAAATATCAAGCTCTCGTCTTTCTACCCAAGGCATCCAATGACACACAGTTGAACATAAGACACCGCGGGGAACCGATCCATTGAGGAATATTTTTTTTTAAAAAAAAAAACAGCAAACAAAAAAAACCACCGAAAAAGGCAACAGCACAGACCCCAGCAAACAGCGCCACCACAACCAAACAGTATTTCAATTGTTTTTTAAAAAAAAAAAACTAACACCCTGCTGCTGCTACTGCTGCTCCTCCTGCTCCTCCTGCTGTTGTTGCTGTTGCTGCCGCTGCCGCTGCAGCAGCTGCAGCACCTCCGGGGGGAGCGGCATCCCGGCATTGCCCATCATCCAACCAAGGCCGAGGGCGAGGAGCAAAAGCTGCCCCTCCAGCCCCTGCAGCCCCTGCTGCTGCTGCTGCTGCTGCTGCTGTTGTTGTTGTTGTTGTTGTTGCTGCTGCTGCTGCTGTTGCTGCTGCTGTTGCTGCTGCTGCTGTTGCTGTTGCTGCTGTTGTTGTTGCTGCTGCTGCTGCTGTCGCCGCTGCTGCTTCTGCTGCCGGCGGCGGGGGCGGCGGGGAGGGGGGGCGACCGGGCCTGCTGCTCGAGTCAGCTCAAGACGAAACGCCGATGGGGGAGGGGAAGATCAAAATACCGGGACG